TATATATATATGTGTGTGTGTGTGTGTGTGTGTGTGTGTGTGTGTGTGTGTGTGTAAATGTGTTTGTGTGTGTCTGTGTGTGTGTGTAGGCGGCATCACGGTCGACTGGTTAGCACATCCGCCAATAGGTTAATAGTGTTTCAAACTTCCCCAAATTTTTTTTTAACTAATAGTATACTAAGTACTGTCCTGCAATGTTGACTCAATAAAAATATAGTTCTTTTTTGTTTTGTTTCCCCCCAGCGATCACTCCACTTCCTTTTACTGATGTTTTCGGCTTTTTGCCATGGTATCATTTCAGTACTGGTATCAAGGTATTTCATGCAAGTATACTTGCAGATTTGCCACCCAGTGTGAAGCGAGTGGGATGAGAATCAGCACCTCCAAGTACAACCACGGTCCTTAGTCAGAAAAGTGTGGAAAAATGAGTGGTTTGCCCTTTCACTGGTCTCCGGGATCAGTTCCTCTCACAAGCAGAGAAGGTTAATTCTTATTAACAGTATTTCGATCGATACTGGTCGCTCAACATTTCTAACCTCCCCTATGGTCATGAGCGGATATACAAGCCACTGAAATGAGTTTTCAACGTAGGCTGTGCAGGCTCTCCCTGAAAGATATTCAAGCAGGTGCCTCAGGGTCAAGACATTACTCCAACGCACTGAGTTGAGCCAGATGACACATCACTGGTGAGACGTCCCGGGTACGTCCCACCAGGAGCAAGGCTTGGGGAAGATTAAAAACATGCTGGAAAGACGATGGCTCCTCATGATCATCCCAGGAAAGACGGATGAAAGCGGAAAGTCTGGTCTTCTCCGCTTAGATTGTTGTCCCCGTGACTCCACCCCAGATATATCAAAGAAAATGAATGGATGGATGGATGGATGAAGTTCAAGTTTACCATTTCGTTCAGCGTAGTCATTAGGATCGTTGTCTCGACTCCTGGATGTGACCTGAAAAGAGACTGAGTGTCATGAAATGTGCTCACCTCCAATTGGGGAACTGCAATTACATGGTTAAATGACCTACTGGGATAACTCTGTGGTTGTTGGACAACAGGTCGCGAGAGGTGACGTTGCGTGTCTTTTCATCAGTACAACGAACATCCAAAGTCAGCTCAACAGAGCACTCTGGACAGAATTCATCACAGGTGCAATCCTGAAGAAAAATGTCACAATGACAGGAAGGATATTATTTATAATAGGGAAGCTCATGAAATATATTTTAAAATTCACTGGACTACATAAAACGAATGAAAAAAATTTTAAAGTTCATTTTGCATGCTCTGTACCCGTGAGATTTTCCTAACGCAAAAAGTTCAATGATGAGTGGAACTTACCCTGGAGTACTGCATTTTTTCTACAATATCGTCACTGGTGAGTGGGATGAGACCTGACAACAAAAGAGATCTCAACTCAACTCAACTGTATTTATAGAACACTTTGAAACAGCCATCGCTGCATACAAAGTGCTGTACATGGAGCAATTTAACATATACAACAAACAGTAAAGCAAATCAGTAATAAAGACGGTAGAAAGCACCGAACAGCAAAACCAAGAACAAATCTAAGTCATGTTGAGTCAAATGCCAAAGAATACAAGTGAGTTTTGAGGCGGGTTTTGAAGATGGGCAGCGAGAAGGCTTGCCGAATGTTCATCTCTCAATATGTATCCTGTAAATTGTAGCTGCAAACCTTATAACCATGTCGAACATACCAACTCTGTGAGCGATGAACTCATCATGCAGTACTGATGAATTGGCATCAATCTGGATCCAGTCAATTGCTGTGATGGAGTAATGCCAGAATATTAAATGGGTACACAGTTGTGAATACCAAAACAGTATTTTGTAAAATATGCAGAAAGAAAACATGCTTTGTCCAGTTTAATTCCATTTTCATACTTATATGTCTATAACAATTAAAACTATATTAGCTACTTCTGAAAAAACGAGAGAGAACCGGCCTTTGCACTGTATCAAGTAATTATAGTATGCAAATGATCATCTTAACTATTAATTCCCAATCATTATGCCATAAATCAATCTTTTGTGGAAACGATTCATTTAAAAAGTGATCCTACCAACTGTGGGTACTTCTGACATGAAGACACGTCTAATTGAATTGGCAACCCTAAAAACAGACAAGAAATGTTCAGGCAGGATCGTGTTAACATTTATCTCAACTCAACTGTTTTTGTCGCACACTTAAAAAAAAACACCGCTGTATATAAAGTGTTGCACATGGAGCAAAAATAAGTTATACAACAATAAATTAATAACAAAGACAGTAGAAAGCACAAAAACAGTAAAACTAGAAATCAAGTCTCACGTTGAGTTTATAATGTTAACATTATAAATGTTAACATAGTAAAACTAGAAATCAAGTCTCACGTTGAGTTTATGTTAACATTATAAATGTTAACAAATAATACTGATATCATAAACATGCTACAAGTAAATAAAGTACGTATAAGGCTTCCAAGTTGCACAGTACTGGGCTACGTGGGGGTAAATTAACGCACCCCTTTAAAATATCAGCTAAACTTTTTTGAAGCACTTGTCGCATAAAGACGAGACATAGTGTCCTACAGTAAAATATCATTGCAAACAAAGATACACTAATACTCACGCCAAATCGGTATTTTCAATGACAAACTTGACATTCTCATCTGTAAGTTCTGTGATTTTTACAGTCGGTTGGTTTGCATAAGGCATTGTAGCAGAGAAATCGAACTAGAAATAATTATGGGCTAAAGTATCCACTATTTGTAGATCACTACTACTCCTATTTTCTTTTCTTCTCTTTTTCCGGTTCTCGTCTTCTTCGTCTTCTTGTTCCGCTTCTTTGGCAAACAACATTTGGCGCATTACAACACCGCCATCTTCTGAACTGGAGTGTTGGTCTGGGTAATCCTATTTAACGACCTCCGATTTAATAGCCCATTCTTTCCCAAATACAAAAATAGACATTTAAATTTAACTCACAGGAACTTCTCTTTAAAATCTCTCGATTATTCAAAGCTACGTAGTGACCAATGAAATAAGAATAAGAGACATCCTCATAATTGGAGAGCGATAACTTTGCTTATAAGATTCTCGATAATTACAGAAACTCAGTTAGGCTTTTTGAAAGGGAGTTTGACTCAATTCACAATATTAGATTGGTATTGGACTTACTGGACTATAGACATGATTCAGGATAACCGATTTCTTTTATTTTTAGAGTTTCAAAAGGCCTTTGATTCAGTTTAGCATCCATTCACTTTTACTATGCTCTATGTGAATAGTTCCATAACTTTAGGTAATAGTACCTGTGTAAGATTTTAGATTTAAAAAAACATACTCCAAGGTTGTGGCAGTTGACCGCTTCTGTTCATTCTAGTCGCTGAAATGCTATCAATTTTAATCATGAATGTTCATATTAAGGGGCTGAATGTGTTGAATTGAAAATCGTGTTCCTTCAGTTGGCAGATGCTTGCTTTTGAAAAATGAGAATCGGATTCCCTGAGCACTTCAAGACATATAATATATTCTCAAAGGCTTTTAGGGTGAAACTAAAAGTGAATTATGGACGTCGTATGACTTCCCTCTGCAGTCAATGAATGGGATTACAATTTAGAAATAGGTTAAACCAGGGGTGTCCAACCGGTAGCCCTCGGATTGCTCCCAAATTGATCGCGGGAAGCTTGATCACATCACCCCTTTACTAGCCAACTTGCATTGGCTTCTGGTTCATTTAAGATGCGATTTCAAGATTTTGCTACTTACTTATAAAATAGTACACGGCTTAGCACCTTGCTAACTTGTTGACTTAGTGGCACCGTATGTTCCACCCCGAACGCTTCCTTCACAACACGCTGGTCTTTTAGTGATTCAGAGAGCCCAAAAGAAGCCCGCAGTTTCTGGAGCGTTTTCTATTCGGGTTCTAGTGCTCTGGAATGCCCGACTCGTGGAAATGAGAGCAGCTACCTCAGTTGATATGTTTCAAATCCAATTTAAGACTCATTGTATACGCCTGCATTTTGTTGCACTATATGTTGGCTGCTTGTACTTTGTTGGAAAAAGTCTTTTTATCTTCTTTGAGGAGATCTTTGAGTTAGCTCATGGAAAAAAAAGAGGAAAAGCAACAGGGGTGCATTTATATTAAGTGTAGCGATCAAAAGACATTAATGCAAAGACCAGACTTTGTCAAAATTCGGTGTGTTTTATTTTTATTGTGCTGCTGATTGCCAGAATGAAATCTTGTAAGGGATTATAACAATTGTCAAGCAGACTTATAAAGGGCGAAAAGGATTAAGCGCTCAAAGACTTGGTAATGAAAATCCAGTTTTTCTTATTCAAATATTTTCAATCTGACAACCGTCAACAACTTTTTAAAATGAAATTTGACAAACATAAAACCAGTCTTGAATCCTGAGTAATTGCATTTTTGAAGACAAACGGTCAGAACAGAAGAGTTAATATTGGCGAGTTGAACAAAACAAAAGTTCTTGCCCTGCAAATGACCAAGAAATGCACAGACCCCAGGCCATATCGAATAAATATATTTGAACATATAATTTCCATTTTGTGTTAAATGAAGAGGGTTGGGATCTGTTCAGTCAAGTCGGTTTGAATCATCGTCTCTGGTTCATCCCGGTGAGATTCTTCAGCTGCGGGCACAAGCAAAACAAGAACAATTTTGATTATTCGGACAATTCACGCCATTACAATTACAGTTCGTGTAAAATCGTCTCTTAAAATTGATTTGAAAACTTACTGCTGGTGTGATTTGTGTGTGTGTGTGTGTGTGTGTGTGTGTGTGTGTGTGTGTGTGTGTGTGTGTGTGTGTGTGTGTGTGTGTGTTCTATACAAATGGTAAGCATCTCAGAAGACTTACGGTTACAGCAGCCCCCATGAGTCCTTGCACCACTGCTGTGCCTGTTGACTGCATCTGAAGAACCAATAACATACTAGTTACAACTAATATGTGAATGAATTGTGTTTTTCTCTCTGCTGAGCCTTACATATTTACTTGGCTGGCTGAAGGAATTTCTTCACAGTTATATGATATGTAAACAGTGGACTCCCACATACTTACGCTGCGGCATCTGTGGATTTGCAAATGTACTGATAAAAAAAAAAATACATATAATTTTATTTGTTTTTTTTCTTGAATGCACACCACTGCACAAAGCATTCTATGCACAACTTTGACTGTTTTCTTGTCAAGTGAGCGTCATCCTGTGGATTCATCTGAAGTATTTCGGAAAATGTTTATTTTGAGTCCGACTGTTCAGTCAGAAACTATGGTCTGGTGAGACAAAGATTGAACTTTTTGGTGTGAATGACAGGTTTCATGTCTTGGGGCTTACTGGAATAACTTGGCATCTCAATGTTTGTATTTCATGATGTCTTGTAGAAAAGTGTGTTGGTATGGCACAAAAAAAAAGTCATTTATCTTTGAATCCTTGAATTTTGAGAAAAAGAAAATTCTGTGAGTCAACTTTGAATATAACTGTAAATAGTTATAATATAAAAACTATCAATAAAATAGCAATTAAATAGTACCAAAAGAAAAATAACACTAAAAACAAATGCCGGTTGTTGCTGCGCGCTTTGGCCTCTTAAAGGCAGCATGCTGCTGTGCATGGATTGAGTACACAGAATGAGAACCGAAAAAGTTGCATGTAACTTTTTTTTTTTTTGTAGAAAGCCATTTTTTACAGATTGGGAGGAATTCGTGCCTTTGCCTAGTGTTAACTTACTAGTGTGGATGTCTTTCCACGGTATTTGTGTGTGAATATTCATTATTTGAAGGAATATCACTTCTAAAGTCAATGCTATTTTCACATTTGATTGGGGTCCTCTACTTACTTTAGCATTCGCGATGTTTTAAAAATGAAGCATGTTTTGCATTCAAATACACAATGTGGGCAAATCTTCTTGTTGTGTATTTAGTTTTACAGTAAAGAGGAACAGGGGTCTCAAAGAGCTTAAAGGACGCTTGGGGACGGCAGCATCACATGTGCTACATCCTTGCCACGCAAGCATCATGGTGCATTCATGGTACTTGTAAACGCACCACACAATTTAAATTAAAAAAAAAAAAACTTTTAAAAACATTAATTGTTTTTATTAGATTATAACGATTTCAAGATCGAGAGAAGTCAAAAACATGATTAAAATTTCAAGTCATCGTCCAACCATAATCTAGACTAAATTTTTGTACTGGTTGCACTTGTGCATCCACCGCTTTGTCCTAAGTTAGCTGCACCAAACTTTTTGACCGCATCACATTCACAGAGCCAAAACCTATAGAAATTCACCTCCTGAAGAATTCATCTGGAATTTTGTATTTTTTTAAATTCTGTCAGGAACATTGTCACTGACTGCGCAAGGAAATATTTTATATATGTTTAATATTAATAATAATTAATAATTTAATTCAAAGAATAAATCACTCACAAAAGTATTTGCTTGGCAGTCAAATTTCAACAATTCACATTGCACACACATGCACGTGCACACATATTTTTAAATAAAGGCAAGGCCCCAAACAGCCTCGCTTTTGTTTACATTCCCTCTGCCAACTAATTGGCCTGTCAGAAACAACAAGAGGTGAAAAGTTGCGAGAACAAGTCACACTGTACTGTCATCTAATGGCGATTAAAAAAGTACAATTAAAAAGGAAAAAAAGCACAGCTCGGTTGTTACGACACTCGTCCGAGGCCTCCAGCAGCTGCGCAAAGCTGTCGCCCCGGGGGCGGGGCCACGGCTATTGAGCCTCGTGGTAGCCGAGGGAGCCTCGTCTGCGGCTCTCAGTCATGTGAATGGGACCCAGTCAGTGGTGCATACGCTTTTTTTTTTAAAAACCGAGCAGACTTCAGGTGGTTGTACGTCAACAACCTCCAATTCTTCTCAGTGGCCGCCACGCTGTGAATTTGGGCACAGCCGAGAGCACTGACATAAAGCATTAAATTTAAGAGCTAGAAATCAACATTCACAACTTGTTCAACACTTTTTTTCTACAAGGTAATATTTTCTAATTCATGAATTCAACGGTTTTGAGGCTTTTGAAGACCCCGCTGTAACCCAGTATACCTGTTTGGCAGAAGATGCCATGTTGACTATATCTTGAATGCGGTTGTCAAGGAAGTTCCAAGTGTCCTGGAAATCTGAGGAGGAATCCTGAAGCATCACAAGCTCAGTGGTGTTATAGATGCCAGTCAGTGCTGCTCTTTTACTGTACCAATTCATCTAAACAGATGGAAATGGGAGACAATTGAAATTGGCACAGTCTCAAAACAAACGCGACTGTAGCTGAACTATTCAAGATATTTGGAGATCATAGTTTATAGTTAAGAGCCACTGGACAGTCAGGTAAAGTCGTACAGTCACTTTAGCTTTACACCATAAGGATCGCTAATCAGTGAGTTAGAAAAAAAATACATAAATAATTGATGATAATTGAGAAGATGGAGCAAAATATCTTTTTAAGAGGGGCTTTTCCTAACAGTGGCACAAAATGGCAAAAGTTGGGAAAGCCCAAAGCGCAGTGAGCGGCAAAGTGGAAGTGTTTGCGTTATTTTCAGCAGGAATAACTGTTTGCAAAGGTCTGCGATCGTTTGTGACCTTGAATGAACCTTGACCCCTCCCCCTCCCCCCCCCAAAAAAATCCACATTCAGTTCGATAGCAATCAATTGCAAACCTCTGTTGCTCAGTGGGATAGAGGCTAAAGTCATAGCGGGCAAAAATGTTGATTGTTTACAGTTTTTAAGATGCCTCAGCTTGGCAATTAACTCCTTCAGTGCTACAGAGCATTTCCCAGGCCAGACGAG